AAAAAATCCACAGCATTTTTCACAGCTCTGGACCAAGAATTCACCCCATTCCTGCCCTGGTTAATGGAATGCATGGACTGTGCACCTCCAGAATCTACAAATAAACTTCCAGGGCTGACTTGCTGCTCCTGTGCTTAATGGTGGGAAATTGCATCCTGGAGTTTCTGGGGCAGGCAGTGACCTGGAGGGCGTGGAGGGAACACCCAGGGGTGGTGGTGCTCCCCTGGGGTGGAATCAGAGAGGTCAGTGCAGCAAAGCCCAGCCCAGCTGAGCCCTGAGCTCCGGGAAGGTCGGAGGGGGCTGAGTTTCACACGAATCAGATCGTTGTTGATATTTCTTGATCTATAAATGAAAGTGCTGCTGGATCAATGGGGTCTGGATTGTCAGAGTGAAACACAAATCCAGGCTCTGTGCAAACAACTGAACTGCACTGGGCACCCATCCCACACTCACTTCCAGCATTTTCCATTCCACGGCTCCAAGGTTTCCTGTGGAATGGATCCCTGCTGAGGGCAGGAGCAGCTGGGGCTGGTTAGCACCCAGCCTCATCTCTGCAGAGCTCCAGGGCTGTCCCCACGCCCCTGGGCTCGGGGCTGGCAGGATCCTGGGAAAAGAGTTTGATTTGGAATTTGGGATCCCTGGCTGGCCATTCCCCAGCCCCACAGTGCCTGACCCTGCTCCTTGGAAGGGAGAATGACTGCAAAAAGGAGGATACCACTGGATTTAAGGAAGTTACCTGGTGCTTCTCACTGCAGGACCTTTTCAGTGCTCATAAATTGGACATGATTTACATTTTCTGTGCCAGGTCAGTCCCAAGCTGGACATTTTCCCCACAAGAAGCAGGCTACTGCAGGATTCCCATTCCTGGCAGTGCCCAAGGCCAGGCTGGACAGGGCTTGGAGCACCTGGGACAGGGGAGGTCTCCCTACCATGGCTGGGGTGGCACTGGGTGGGATTTAAGATCCTTCCAACCCAAACCAGTCTGGGATTCCGGGATTCTAATTCTAAAACCAATTGCAGAGAAAACATCAAGGGAAGGTGAAGGCACTGTGGGTGTGGGAACTGCAGGTGCTGGGTGCTGCACACACTCAGGATCTGCATTCCAGGGCTCTTCCAGCAATAAACCTGGCATTACCTGGTGCCATTCCCAAAAGCACTCCTCTTTTCCAGGCAATATGGAGCTCACAGAGATGCCTGGAAATGTCCATTCACAGCCTGGAGTTCTCACAGCCTTTTTATGATCCTCGTTTCATCATGAATTTTAGTGCCAGCCCAAATTAAATTCATTTTACAATATGTATTTATTTCTCAGCTTCTTAACAGAACCATTTGGAAACATCCCAGAGCCTTTAAACAACAAAACTGTTTTTCCTTTATGGCAAAAAAATGGCTTTTTGCTTTCATTTTCCCAGGGAGAGCAGCCAGCAAAGGCCCCCCTCCAGCTTGCACAAGGATGGATTTTTTTCCATACAAAACTTCAGCAGTTTAGCACTTCCAAGCTGTTATTGTCACACCACAGTCAGTTAATTACATTTATAATTCCAGAAACATGGGTGGTAGAAATTGAATCTCAACTAAGAGACTTTTTCTCCCAGACAGTGGGCAAATAAAACTTTGCTTATCTCACTGTAATTTCACGATGCACAGCATGGGGTGCTGAAAAATCCCTCAATAATGTAACTTATCACTAACAGGGAGTGCTGCACTCTTTCTTCCTTTCATTTTGGTCATATTTTCACAAGGCTGGGAAAGGCTCCAGCTGAGTGAAGCTCCCCACACCACCAGCCAACCTGTGCCTCCACTTTCCTGAGCACTCTTTTCCAGCTGCTTCCCAGTCCCACGTGCTAAACTCACTTGTGACACTCCAGTGATCTCCCTCCAGGCATCCCAAATGATTTTGGAAGGGAAAATACCCTGAGATGAGGAGAATATAAAGCATGAAACAGCCTCTTTGTCCTGCCAGATGTCACCATGAGTAACGAGCTTGGAGTGCCATTAATGAGCTCAGGTGTGAGCAGTGTGCCAGGAGAGGGGGATACACCATGGGGAAGGTTGGTTTTCCCTGCTGTTGGAAGGATTGATGAGATCCTGTGGGAATTCCCAGCCTGTTTAGGTTGGAAAAGGCTCAGTTCCCTCAGGAGCAATGCAGGGCCTGGCCTGGCTCAGACAGGTCAGCGAGGCACAACTCCAGAGCTCAAGTGGGGACACAAAAAGGCAGGGATTTGTTCCAGCATCATTATCCCACCCCAAGGCACATTTTCTGTCACACAGTGATGGCTCAGCTGCAGCTCTGGGCCACTGGGAACACACAAACAAAGCCAGGCTCAAAAAGTAAAAAATGGGATTCTCAGCTTCGTTTTCCAGAGAGGACTAACACAGAAAGGCAAGAATCGTCCCAAAGCCACTTGGGTTCATGCTTTAGGCTCCTGTCCCTGCCTTCCAGGATGCACTGAGCATATCCCAGGCTGTCTGTCCACTCCCACAGAAAGAGGGAACGGGCTCCAAGATCCCACAGCTGCCCTGGGAGCAGTCACAGAACCACAGGATGGTTTGGATTGCAAGGGAAGTGCCCAAGGCCAGGCTGGACAGGGCTTGGAGCAGCCTGGGACAGTGGGAGGTGTCCCTGCCCGTGGCAGGGGTGGCACTGGGTGGGATTGGAGGTCCCTTCCCAGCCCAAACCATTGCAGGACTGTAAGGAATGGAAGTTATCCTCAGGAGGATCAGCAACACCCAGCCAGTGTCAAACCCTGCCAGAACACTGTGACAGGAAACAAAAATCACCTCCTTGGCAGCAGCCAGCACTGCCCAGGTGAAGCAGTGCCTGAATCCCACATTTTGGGGCTGGCAGTAGGAAAAATGGCACATTTCTGCTTCCTCAGCTCTGCTGGTGCTGCTCTTTGTGCTCCAGAGGAGCAGTGCTGCTGAGAGCTGAGGTAAATAACATTCCAGGGGGTTACAGAGCAATAATTCCAGTGGAAGGCACAGACCATGACGCTGTAATGCTCTGAAATCCTTCACAGCTCCGGAGGAAAGAGCTGTGTGCCCAATTGAACCCATCAAGCCTGAGGAAAGAGACCTTCCAAGGGCTGCTCTCCCCTCAGCAGGCAAACAGAGATTTGATCTGGCAGCAGCTGTGTCAATCAAGGGCTCGTGCCCTGCTGTGGCCAGCAGAGATCAGCAGGAGGAACTCAGAGGGCAGCACCAGGTGAGGTGCAAGTGGCTGTCAGAGAGAAGGGCTCGGCTTTATTGCACCTGACACCTCGAGAGAATAAAAGCACTTAGCAAGGAGCACCATCCATCACCTCCCAGCACAGAAACCTCCCCTTCTGCAGCCTCTCAAAGGCTAAAACGCCACAGTGTCTTGTCTTTTTGGACCTGTTGCTAATGCTTTGAAAAGAAGACAGAATATTCCAGTAATTGCCTACAGTTAGACTATAATCCAAGTTCTGCTCCTTCCCTTTTTTTTTATTATTTGCTCATTGGCAAAGCTGATTTTCATCACATCCCAGACTGGTTGGAAAGGATGTTAAATCCCACCCAGTGCCACCCCTGGATGGGCAGGGACACCTCCCACTGTCCCAGGTGCTCCAGCCCCAGTGTCCAACCCAGCCTTGGGCACTGCCAGGGATCCAGGGGCAGCCCCAGCTGCTCTGGGAATTCCAGCCCTGCCCTTCCAGCCAGGAATTTATTCCTGAGATCCCATCTCAGCTCCTGGGAGCATCTCTTCCCAACCTCCTTTAGCAGCAGAGCCTGGTGGAGGCCTCAGGGTTCTCTCCTGGAGCACAGGGATCCCAGCACTGAGAGGGGAGGGGGATCAGTGCCAGCACCACTGCACAAATCCTGCAGCGAGAATGCTTCAAGGGAACTGAATTCCCTGAAAATTGAGAGTTCCAGGAGTCACTCCTCCTTCCCTGGGGACCCGTGCCAGCGCTGGGCAGCAGCCCTGCCTCAGGGACCCATCCCACATCCCACAGAGCTTCTCCTCATCCTCAGGAGCAGCTCCAAACCCCGCCGGGCCCTGCTGGCCACCCCCAGTGCCCTGCCTGCTCCTCCCAGCCCCACTGCTGGCACTGGTGGCACCGAGTGTGCCCAGCTCTGGAATGAAGCCATCCAAAGGGACACCACGATGGAGTAGCCATGGCAACCCCGAGTGGCTCCCTGCTTCCCTTCTCAGTGCATCACTGCCTCCCTCTCAGCTGCTGCTTCTCCAGCCTCCTGGATAATTCCCAGGCCCAGCTGGGACACCAATGCTCCTGGAAAACAATTTTATTAACAGCCTTTTTTTGTTTGTTTGTTTTGTTTTTGGGGTTTTTTGTTTGTTTGTTTTGTCTACAAAGTGCTACAGCAAAATCAGATTTTATCAAAATAGGAGAGAGATGAAGGAAAAAGATACCACCAGTGCTGAGTCTCAGTGGATGGAAAGCTGGGATAGCCATAAAAGTGTGGCGTAAAAACTCCACACCTGACACTAAATTTCACCAGAAATGGACTGATGAACTTCAGCCCCACAAAAGAAGGGGCAGATTTGGCTGCCTCCCACAGTCTTAATGGCTTATTTATTTGTTAATTAATATTTTTGCAGTATGTGAGAAAGAAAAGCAATAAATGCATTTGAAATCTACAACAACATGTACTCCCTGTAACCCTGCATGGAAGTTCTGCCAGGAGAAAATTGAATTGGGAATGTTGGAATCCCTAAGGCTGGAAAAGCCCTCCCAGCCCATCCAGTCCCAGCTGGGCCCCTTCCCCACCCTGTCCCCAGCCCAGAGCTTTGAGTGCCACCTCCAGGGGACACCTGCAGGGATGGGCACCCCAAACCTCCCTGGGCAGTGCCAATCCCTGAGCTCTCTTTCTATGGGGAAATTCCTGCTGGAATTCCCTCAGGAACTCTCCAGCCCCTTCCCAGCTCCCTCAGGAACTCTCCAGCCCCTTCCCAGCTCCCCCAGGAACTCTCCAGCCCCTTCCCAGCTCCCTCAGGAACTCTCCAGCCCATTCCCAGCTCCCTCAGCTGCTCCTCCTCATCTCTTGACCAGAGCCATGAGTTCCCTTTTGGCAAACCTTCCGACTCTTTGTGACTTCAGGGGAGGAGGAGCCTGGAATTTCCTTCAGTTCAACCAAGAGGAGAAAGGTCCATCTCTGCAGCCCAGAATGATCACGTTGGTGTCATTGATGGGTTGGTGACTGAGACCTACAGAATTTTAATCCCCTGGGATAATCCATTACTGAGCTTCTTCTTGCAGTACCAGCAGCAAACCACCCACGTGACTCTGGAATCCCATAAATCCAAAATGCAAACACATCCACATTGCCTCCAGGTCCTGCTTCATGCACAGCAACTTGCCCTAGAACCCATTCATGCTGTCAGTTCAAAAGCCTTGTTTGCAGGGATTCCTTGCAGGAACCTGAACATGCTCCCTCTCCCTTCCCTTGGAATTAGTATGCCATTGTGAGGATCAAGGCCATTTGCAGGAATATAAAATATTCAATTAATAAGGCTCTGGAATATTTAATCATGACATTGAAATGCTAAGGAGTGCATTACCATTTATTATCCCCTACAAAGGATGGATCTCCAGCTCTGTGCCTGTTCCAGAACAGCCCCGTGGAGCTCCAGGTGGGGTTTTGGGCTCCTTCCTGAACCGATGCTAAAAGGCAGCATTAATGCAGATTAGGTTAAATCTCATCACCACTGGAGTAACACTCCAGGAGAGAAGAAATTACCAACAGCTCCTGGTTTAAAGAACTGAGGGGAACGTTTTCTTCCCCATTTCCAGTTAGCAGGAAATTACACAGGGAGTCTTTCCAGCAGTGGCTTAGGCCTTGGTGAAGAAAACCAAAACAGAAAAGCACAGGGCTCTGCTTTAAGCATGGTTCTAATTTACACCATTTTAGCTCAGGCCTTGCTCAGATGCACAAGTTTGATCTATTTGTTATTTCTGAGGTGATATCTCTTCCATGAATGGAAACACTGCTGGGAAATGACCACCAGAGAAAAATCCTCTTTAAAACAGCCCTAATTATGAGCCACAATAATTTTTTATTTCATTTGTTACTTCTGCATAACTTCTTGCCAAATCTTGGGGCAGGTTATGGCACTGGGAGAACATCTCGCCTTGCAGGGAAATAATGTCAACCTCTGGTGGTTTAACCCCAACTCATTATCCTCATCCCGAACCCAAATCACTCCCAGCTCCCGGGAAGGAATTGAACTCTATCCCAGCCCAAACCAGGGCACTCCATCATCACAATGTGCTGTGTATTAATAACAGGCACAACAAATTTGTCTTTAAATTAAAATCAGCCTTGCAGCCAGTGGATATTACTCTAAGGGATCACTTAGCAAAAACACTCAAAATATAAGGAAAGTTACAGAGACAAGTAAAAATAAAACTTTGCCAATAAGGGAAAAGACAACAAGGATGTTTTAAAAGAATTAACAGGTGAAATGATTGTAATAGCTTAGATCTGTTATTGGGAATCAATACAGTAATTCTTAGAGAATGCATAAAACAAATATTTATCTTTTGTGCTTGTAAAGATGCTGAGGGGAATATTAATTTTTTATACTGGCAACTAAATATTTTCTATTCAATCGCTGTTTCAATAAGATTATTAAGTGACCACAACCTGAGCTTACCACAGGCAGTTCTCACAGAACTTGTGAGCAGCCCCCAAAAGCTGCAGAATGTTTAATGGACGGGCCAGCCAGGCAGCACGAGGCAGGCTGACAGTGAGGGGCTTGGGGTGGCAGATTAATTACCAGGATGGTGATAGGATTTTAGGAAAATCTCTACCTGAATGCTGACAGCAAGTGATAGAAGAGACGGGGTCTCCGTGGCTGGCACACACGAAGCTGTTCAGAGATTCCAAAAGCTCAGTATTTATACCTTTTCAATCTACACTAAAAATAGCTCTACCCACCACACTTGGGTTCCTTAGTAACACTGCTTCATCAGAGCTTTGCACAAACCCGCACAGGTCTGGCATTTTCTGCTTGCCAAGCACAGCCAAGCACAGTGCTCTCCTCCTCAGGGCGCTGCTGGCACAGCCTCCCGCCCTGCCAGGCTCAGCACAGCCCCTTCAGCCAGGGCTGAGCAGCTCCCAGCCCTGCTCTCCATCCCCACAAATGCCCACAGAAACATCTCGAGCCACGTGGGAAATAGGAAAGGTAAGAAGACTTGCAGAAAGCTGTGGAAGCAGCTGCAGCTCCCTCCAACACAGAGCCAGAATTGTAATTAGTGACCAAACTCGGAATTCTCACTCTGAGGAGATGCAGGGGAAGGTGCTCACCAGGAGGACAGGGAATTCCTCCTGCTCCTGTGCAGGCAAAGCTCCAAATCCCCAAACTCAGAGAGAAACCGGTCCAGAAGCTGCAGCAGTGCCTGGCTCAGTGCTTCCAGCTGGGACAGGCTGGGATTGTTCTCCAGGGACCACCAGGGAAAGAATCTCTGGGAAAGAAGAGAATCAGTGGGGCCAGCACGAGAACCAGGGCTCAGGAACTAGCCAGGAACACTCGGACACTGAAACAAGAAAGTAGCAGCCAAGCACTAGAGGGAAAATTAAGGAATGCACTCCAGCAGCAGTGGGAAAATGAGAGGGGAGTTAAAAATGAGCTCAGGTTGTGACAGCTGTGGGACAGGACTGAGGGCAGCACTCAGGAGCCCGTGGGGGTACGTGTTCCTAGGGAAGGCTGCTCCTCACTCCTCACTCCAGCTGGGCAGGGGAGCAGCTGGAAACTCAAAGCAAAACCATTCCAGGAAGGAGGGAAGGAGGGCACAGCTTTCTCATGGAGGTGACAGTCACCAGAACAGCTGCCTAAGAGCTGGGGCTGCTTCCTTTTCAAATTAGAAATCATTCACTGAAACCCAGAATCTCCTGAGCGGGAGGGACCCACTCACATCCCATCCCTGTCCCTGCCCAGACCCCCCAAATCCCACCCTGAGCATCCCTGGCAGCGCTGGCCAATCCCTCCTGGAGCTCTGGCAGCAACAGGCTGTGCCCATTCCCTGGGGAGCCTGGGCAGTGCCAGCATGGAGGGAGGGATGGATGGAGGGATGGAGGAATGGATGCAGGAATGGATGCAGGGAGGGAGGGATGGATGCAGGAAGGCAGCTCCTGCCACCTCGTGGTTCTCCTTCCCTCTGGAACCCTGGGCTTCCCACCACATGCAGAAACGTTCCCTCACAAGAGGAACCCCAGCCCGGCCACAGCTGCTCGTAATTCTTTTTTTTTTTTTTTGTTCATTATTTTTCTGCTATCCCTAAAGCACAACCTCCTTTCCCACTCCCTCCTTCCACCCCCCGAGCTGCTGGCCGGGAACATAAATAATCCTAAACCAGAGGAGGAAAAGAAGAAATAAGAATAAAACACCCTAAGCACAGTGTGGGGTGTTCTGTCAGTCTGCTTCTTCACAGAGATACAATGATATCCAGCAGGAAAACGTTTCCTTAGATTTAATGAAGACTATTCACTAATAAACCAAACCTATATATGTATCAATATATGAAATATTAGTATTATATTCCAGCTGCTCCCAACAAAAGAAACATTTGGGTTTTGCTTCCAGACATACAATTAATTAAGATCCCAAACAGCTGAATATTTATTCTTATAACTCTATACTTAATATATAATTTACAGGATTGATTGATTGACAAGACTTGTCAAAGGAACCTCCCAAATAAAGGGAAAAACCTTAAATATTTACATGAAAAAACGGAGAAAAGCACACACCCCTCACCCAAACTGCATGCAAGGGGCGTTCTGGGGTTTTTCCCCAATTTAACCCCACACTACAGATCTCACCGGGGTGTCTGGGCTGTACAACCCACACCACAGACTTTCGGGGTGGAATTTCTGCAGCTGCTGTCAAAACTGCTGATCCACCCAGGGCAGAAACTTCAGCTGCACCTTCACTGGGAGCTAAAGAGGCAGAAGTCTGGAAGGGGGGCTTGGAAAACTCTTTACAATGCAATCATCATCCTTGCCCCATGAATAATTCATTTTTTTTCATGAAGATTTTGATTGGCATCTGCCACCTTCCCAAAGAGAAGCAGAAGACTCTCAGTTTTAGGTCCTTCCTGGTAACTGCTGGGATCCACACAGATAAATCCCAGCAAAACCCACTTTCCTCCTTTTTAACCCACAGCACAAGCAGCTGATGAGGCTCAGAAGTCACTTAGAGGCCTCGAGCTAAATCTGCATTTATTGTTTCCAGGGGCACCTGTTCTGCCCCAGAACCACCCACACTCAACAAAAACCAAATTAACTCTTTTACCCTCAACAGCTTTTCCCGTTTCATCTGGATTAGTCTTTCTTCTCTGAATAATAGACCTGATCTCTTCCTTTATGGAACAAACAGCAGACAAGCTTAAAAAATATTCAAGAAATGCCATTTATGGGGAAAAAAAAAAAAAAGTATTTCTGCCAGAGGGGAAATTTAGATGGAATATTGGGATTTAGGAATTCCTGGCTGGGAGGGTGGGGAGGGGCTGGGCTGGAATTCCCAGAGCAGCTGTGGCTGCCCCTGGATCCCTGGCAGTGCCCAAGGCCAGGTTGGACACCCTGGGACAGTGGGAGGTGTCCCTGCCATGGCAGGGGTGGCACTGGGTGGGATTTGGGATCCCTTCCCACCCAAACCATTCTGGGATTCCATTTGGGAAGCTCCACTGGCATCTGGTAACACAAACAAGAGGGGACCTGCTCAGCCATGCTAACAAAGCTTAGGAATTCTAACAAAACTTGTAGGAATTCCACAGCTACCTAAATTACACCCACAAATCTCACACACACGTTTGTTCCTGGAAAAAATTGGGAAATTGGGCTGAGGGGTGTGTGCTTTCCTGTGTTTTTTCATAGAAATATTTAAGGTTTTTCCCTTTTTTTGGGAGGTTCCTTTGACAAGTCTTGTCAATTAGTCAATCAAACCTGTATATTAAGTATAGAGTTACAAGAATAAATGTTTATTCAGCTTTTTGGGGATCTTAAATCTTGGCTTCCTGTGGATTCTTTTTAGTTCCTGAAAGGAAGCACAATGGTGGCTTCTGCAACTAACTGGAGCAAAACAAATTTTCTTTGCTCTTGATCATTTAGGCAAAAGCTGAGTAGATAAGGATGTGGCTTTGATTTTAGCCTGTGAAAAAAGCTGCCAACTCTGTATGAGGAATTACAACCACAAGGGTTTGAGTAGTGTGGTAGTTGAGTTAACACAGGGTGGAAAAGTAGAATTTTGGGGTTTTTAGAATGGGGTTCAGGGGTACAAGATGGAGGAATTTGGGCATGTCCTGACCTTCTTCTCCTTCTCCTTGCCCTCCATGCCTTGCTGTGATGGTGACACTTTTCTGTTGGTTTAAGGTACAGACACACTGTCCAACATAAATGATAGATATTAGCTCAATATTGTAAATATAGTACACATAAATTTTGAGTATATAATGTAAACTCTGCCTGAGGTGAGAGGCAGATTGCCATGGCTGACCTGCTGGCCAGAGCTCAGCAGGGCAGAGAGAGAATGTTCTAGATAAGGGAAAATAACACCCTTGAGAAGCTGATCCTGCACATTCAGATCCCTTTGGCTGCAGGGCTGGGAAACGAGGACTTTCACACTCTTGGGGCCAGCCCAGCACCGAGACCCTGAGGCAGGAGCAGCCCGGGAGCCGAGGCCAGGCAGATGGCAGGAGAGGAAATGCAGAACTCCCCTGTGTTTCCATGGCCCCCTCCCTCCCCTGGCACTCACCTGCCTCTGATGCCGACACTGCAGCCCTGGGGCTCCTTCTCCGAGTTCTCAGGGGAGCAGCAAGCACAGCTCCCTGTCTGCTCTATTAACTGGCCTGCTAATTGGCACATGCATCTCCTGTAATGAACCCAAAGTCTTTCGTTATTGTAACAAGCTGCAAGGCAGCAAACAGGACCCCAAAAGAACACCTTGTTTTTTAACACAGCTGTTTATTATCAACAGGCACACACTGAAGCAATTTTGTACCCAGAGCTGAGTTTCTAACCCACCTGCTGGGACTAATTTGAGAATCAGACACACCTGATCCCACTGCAGCTGCTTGTTAGCAGGGCTACAGCTGGGTACACCAGTGACTCCAATTTATCCTCTATTTTTTATCCTTTATTCAAGTGACTTCCCCTGTTTGCCATCTGACCTCCGAACCCCTACTAAGGATCTTCCGGACAGGACACACCGGAGCCTGCCAGGCCTGGGGCTCAGCACCACCCGGCTCCCGCACAGCGCAAAGGCTCCACCGAGCCGCGGCTACGCCCCACGGCGCTCCCGGGGCTCTTCGTAAGTTCCGGACATTCCTGTGGAGCCGCGGCCCGGCCCCGCCTCAGCCCAGCCCCGATTCCACCCGGCCCCGCCTCAGCCCAGTCCCGACCCCGTCCCGATCCCACCCCGGCCCCGGCCCGGTCCCGGCCCCGCCTCAGCCCCGTTCCAATTCCGCCTCAGCCCAGTCCCGATCCCGCCCCGGCCCCGCCTCAGCCCCGTTCCATCCCCGCCTCAGCCCAGTCCCGGTCCCGCTTCAGCCCCGTTCCATCCCCGCCTCAGCCCCGTCCCGATCCCGCCCCGGCCCCGCCTCAGCCCCGTTCCATCCCCGCCTCAGCCCAGTCCCGGCCCCGCCTCAGCCCCATTCCGATCCCGCCCCGGCCCCGTTCCGGTCCCGCCCCCGCCTCAGCCCCGTTCCATCCCCGCCTCGGCCCCGGCCCCGTCCCGATCCCGCCTCGGCCCCGTCCCAATCCCACCTCGGCCCCGCCTCAGCCCAGTCCCGGCCCCGTTCCGGTCCCGCCCCCGCCTCAGCCCCGTTCCAATTCCACCTCAGCCCCGGCCCCGTCCCGGCCCCGCCTCAGCCCCGTCCCGATCCCACCCCGGCCCCGCCTCAGCCCCGTTCCAATTCCGCCTCAGCCCCGGCCCCGTTCCAATCCCGCCTCGGCCCCGTCCCGATCCCCTTCCGATCCCGCTTCAGCCCCGTTCCATCCCCACGCCGGACCCGCCTCAGCCCCGTTCCATCCCCGCCTCAGCCCCGTCCCGGTCCCGCCCCGGTCCCGCCCCGGTCCCGCCTCAGCCCCGCCTCAGCCCGCCCCTCTCAGCGCTAACGGTTGCGGAGCCCGCCCACGGGCGGACCGAACCACCATGCCGAGGAGAGGGGAGCTCGGGCATAGCCCTGTCCTGCTGCAGCCTGCCTCAACGCCATCCGGCAAGGTTTTTATTTCGTAACACCCCCCCGCGCCCGCGCTCGGTGGTCTCGGCCCGCAGTTCCGCCAATCGCCGGGCGCGGCGGCGGCGCTCGAATCTGCGCGCGGGTCCGTGAGGGGAGCGCGGCGGGCCCGGGAGCGCCGCTGGGCCGGGCCGCGGCCATGGCGGGGCTGGGACCCGGCCGGGACCGCTGCGGCGGGGTCTGCGACATCATCGCCACCCCCAGCCGCCGCTCCGCCTGGAGACAGCCGCCGGTGCGCTCGGTGTTCCTCAGCAGCATTCCCGCGGGGACGCTCACCCCACTGAAGCAGCTCCTGCAGGGCCGGAGCAGCGGCGCGGCTGCGGGCGGCCGCGCGTCGGGGCCGCAGCTCGGGGGGCCGGAGCGCCGGGATGGGCCCGACAGCCGGACCGGGCCCGGTGGAGACAGCCGGCCCGGCCCCGGTCTCGACAACCGGCCCGGCCCCGGTTTCGACAGCCGGCCCGGTCCCGGTCTCGACAGCCGGCCGGGCCCCGGTGGCGACAGCCGGCCCGGCCCCGGTGGCGACAGCCGGCCGGGTCCGGGTTTCGACAGCCGGCCCGGCCCCGGTCTCGACAGCCGGGCCGGGCCCGCCGCCGAGCGGCCGCCGAAGCGGAGCCTTGCTCCGGAGCCGGCTGCGCAGGAGTCGCCGGTCACGATCTTCCAGCGGATGAAGGCACGGGCGGAGCGGCAGCGCGCTATCGCCCCCGACGTGATCCTGACCCCCGCGGCCCCGCAGCACCGCAGCGCCCGGCCCGGAGCAGGTGAGGTGTACGAGCCCTGGGTGGCTCCATGGTGTGAATGCTTGTGTGGATAGCTGGAATAAAGAGCGCAAAGGTGTAAACCTGGGTTTGGGTCACAGAATTTTCAGGCATCTTGTGCTGTAGTGACATCCCTGATTTTCACATTCTCCTAGACCTCTTCATTCTTTAGATTAATCCACAATGCCAAATTACGGGAATTATTAGCAGTTCTTTTTCCCCGACCGGTTTTTATTATTTTGGAGCACACTGGAGTCTCCTATTGAAAGGAAAGAGCTCTCAAAGCTGCTACCAATTGCCTTAATCCTTTCTCCTTGGAAGGCCCATGGAGAGGACAAAGCCCCTTGACACCAACACCTTGGGAAGCAATGATTGTTCCACAGCTTTTCCAGGAGAGCTGTCTCAGGTGTGAACATCTTCCCTCTGGTCCCGCTCATGGCTCTTCCAGGATCTGAGAAGAGCAGCCAGAGCCCCTTGGTGGCTGTAGAAAACATAAGCACTGGTTGCACCCCAGCTGCTGGGATTAAAAAAAGTTGGATGGTGAAGTTTTTTAGTGCTGAAATGTGTCTGTAGCAGTGCTGATGTATCTTCCCTGCTCTGTATCATAGAGGATTCCCTCCCTTTGGGTTTCCTTCCCCTCTGCCTCGCTATGGCTCCAATTGTTCTTTCTGTTGTGTTCATGAGTGGGTTGGACGTGTGCAACACCTTCAAAACCACCTTGTAAGTAAAAAAAATCAAACCAAAATTGCTGTAACTATTCCTTACAGTCTATGCAGGGAAGAGAAAGGTTCATGGAACCGTGCTTGGGGTTTGAAATCCCACTGGGATTCCTGGGCTCTCCCTGCTGGCTTTTATCTCTATCCATGACATGGTGAGATCCAGTGCCCCCTCAGCAGGTTTGCAGCTGGCATCGAGCTGGATGTGACCCCTTTTTACAGTGAGGGTGGGCAGGCCCTGGCACAGAGAGGAAAGAGAGGAAAACTGAGCAGCTCTGGCTGCCCCTGGATCCCTGGCAGTGCCCAGCAGCCTGGGACAGTGCAAAGTGTCCCTGCCATGGCAGGGGGTGGGATGGGATGGGATTTAAGGTCCCTTCCTACTCAAACCTTTCTGGGATTCTGTGGGGATTTTTTTTTAATAAAAAGCATATAAAAGATCATATTGTCCCCACCTCCACCCCCCATGCAATGTTTTTGTTCCATAAATCTAAAGAGGGTTTTGGGGTTTGTTTGTCTGGTTGTTTTCCAGAGCCAATTTTGCCTCATGTTCCCAGGATGGAGCCCCTGGAAGAGCCCCCAGCAGAGCCTCCCGTACTGGAAACCCCCCAGAAGTTCTTCCTGCGGGTGAAGTGGCAACTGCTGCAGCAGCAGCAAGGTACTGGGGCTGCTCTGAGAGCACAAACTCCCTGCAGGCAGAGAGCCATGGCACTGCTGAGCTTGGGAAAGCCCTCTGAGGCCATCAAGTCCAACTGTTCCCCCAGGACTCTCCCCTGTCCCCAAGTGCCACATCCACAGGGCTTTAAATCCCTCCTGGCATGGGTCTCCCCCACCCCCCAGGCAGCCTCTTCCCATGCTTAAATATCCCTAATTTTTTTGTTATTCCTTTTTTTTTTTTTTTCTTTAAATGGGCAGCTAGGACACCTTCAACCCACACCCAGCAGAATGTTCCTCCTCCCACAACTGCAGAGAATCCCTCAGTGCAGCCTGCTGGTGCTGAGCAGCCAGGGAACCAGCCTGCCCAGGATATGGACTCTGATAAGGACGATGTGGATGTTTTCCTGGTGGAATCCATAGAAGTAGATGGTGATGGAGAAATGTCTCAAAGTACAGTGGCTACTCCTTTGCAAGTGAACTCCACCCCTTGGGAAAAGAGGGATCGGGTAAGAGGAAGGTGGAGAAATGGAGAATGTAGAGAGCTTCATGAAGACAGGAGAGAGCTGCAGCCCAGCAAAAAACCAGCTGCTCCAGCAGTGGAAAAGGCACCAGAGGCTAGTCCTGGAAAGCCTTCCAAGCGCTTCTGTAGCATCATGCTCTGCTCTCCAGTCCAAATCCCAAGGAAGCAGAAGCTGGCAGAAGAACCCAAGGCCCCTTTGGATAAACCTCCTACTGATCAACTTGCTGGCAAAGCGCACAAAGAGGTGGGAGAAAATAATCCCCAAGGGAGAATGAGGAATTCCTCTGGGCTGATATCTGGAAGTTATTCTTTTTCTTGTCAAAAGCAAGGAACACTGAGAAGAGAATAAATCGTTATTCCATTAGATTTTACCAGTAAATTTTCCCGTGCAAAGGGTTCCTTTTTTTCCATGCTCCAAGATGACAGATGTTCGGGGTTTGGATTTTTTTATGTAAAAGAAGCACTTTTGGTTTAGTGTGCACAAGCCATGGTGTGATCAAGGGCCCTGCCAGCTCCTGGCTGCCTGCTCAGATCCAGGGAGGAGAGACCTTTCCCAGCTGGGCATGAATCCATCCAGGAATGTGCTGTTGGGCAGGGAAGGGCTTGGCTTTCCTATGGAGCATCCAGGCTCCTGATCAATTTAACTGGAGCGGAATCTCTTCCTAGGAGAGCAGTGCTGCATCCCTGGGGTTCCCTGGGCACCTGGCACAAGCACACCTGCCCAAGGCTTGGGCTTTCCTTGTTCTCTGGGGAAATCTGGGATTGCAAAGGACTTGTTCTCTTCTCCCTCACCATGGCCTAGAGTGTTTGTTTCTGAATTAAACCAAGTTACCTTCAGGACTGAGCCGAGGATCAGATATCCTCTAATAGTCCAGATTTGTAGCTTAGAAGATACTGAAAGATATATTTTTGTTATTGGATCTGATCGCTGAGGGGGCCTGGGTAATAAATACTTCTAAATGATTTATTTTCTTTTTTTTTTTTTTCTGAAACAGAAAAACATCTGCCTGAACAGCTGGAGGATTAAAGTGCTGCCTGGAAACATGGCAATCTCTGTGTGTGGGAAAAGGAAGTAAGAACCAGTTTATTATTTAAATGTAAAGTAAACCATGGACATCAAACATGAGGTAACGGTGCAGAGCTTAGACTTTGTCAAGGAAGAGACAATTCCTTTGTGTGGGCAAGAGGGAGGAGAGCCAGCATCCAGGGAGCTACTGGTGAACTAATTTCAGAGTCCTGTGCTGAGATAATCAGAGAAATAAATCAAGTGTCAAATAGCTCTGGACAGTTTGGGTTGGGGGGGACCTTAGAGTCTGTCCAGCCCCACCCCTGCCAAGGGCAGGGACACCTCCTGCTGTCCCAGGCTGCTCCAGCCCCCGCCAAGCTGGGCTGCTGTAATGAGCTGGCTTCATTCCAGCTGCTGTCCCACGAGTGGCACCTGCAGCGGTGACATGTTCACTTTGTCCCTGCCCCAGTGTCAGGCACAGAGGCAGAGCTGTGTCATTCCAGGCTAAGAAGGAAAACTGAGCCCAGAGCACATCCTGCCTGCGCCTGAATCCCTCAGAAAGCAGGGATCACCAGCCCTCCCTGATGGAGTGCCAGCATTCCAGACTGCAATCCCTTCTGGAGGTGATTTCCGTGGTTGCTGTGTGTCTTTTGCCAGGGACACGAATCAGCTGTGGCACAGCACCGCCGTCACCGAGCGCGTCACTCGCAACCAGGTGCAGACCTCCTCGGGAACTGTCTACCTGCTGCAGGGCAAGATAGACACAGCTGCCATGAGGAAGGAGGGTGAGCTGCTGGTTCTGAATGCCTTACAAATTACAGACTCTTTCAGCTTGCTTTGGAGCACGTGGGGTTTGTAAGGAAATGGGATTTCCACGCAGATTGAAATACAGGATTTGTTCTCCTTGCTCTGTGTGCTGCTCTGGCACGTTTGCTGGGAATGAGCTGCTTGTTTTGGGTTTTTAGTATGGAGGTGGAGAGAAGACAAGACAGAGGATTTTGGGTGTTGTCTGATCTCCTTTTTGTTCTTCATCTGTTCCATTGAAGATTTTATTACTTTCTTTGCTAAGAAGTTATATTTGTTTCTATATTAATATTCTGAGAAGGAAAAGTAGCATCATAAGGCTTGTGAGCAGAGGGGCTCTAGTGCTGCAGAGGTTTCCTAGACCCAGGAGTGAGTGGAGTGTGCTGGATGGAATTGTCTGGGCCAGTTCCTCTGATGTTGGGGTTTCACAGGCTCTGGGGGCTCTCCTGTGCCCTGAGGGAGTGCCAGCCCTGCTGAGCTGCTGTTCATGTCCCCTGTGCTCCCCTCAGGGTTCCCCTACCACTTCATCAAGAAGTTCACATTTGGCTTCTCCAGAAGTTGGAAGGAGTATGTGGAGGAGTTTCTTGAGGAAAAGAGGAGGTAACTTCTTTGGAGATTCTCTATCATTGCAGTGTTCTAAGTGTTCATTGAGGCTTTGCTTTTTGAGGGTATTAAGCAGAGGAGTGTGAAATGTTTTAGATGTGGGCATGAAACCACTCTGCTGTGCTGGGCCACCAGGCTCCAGCCCACCAGGGCTTCACATCCTCCCTGTGTGTTAAAGAACAGCTTCCTCAGTGGCTGTTATTTCTTGTCTCAAACTCCAAACCATCAGGAAAGAAGCAGTTCAAGATAGCTGTGGGGAGGAAGACGAGAAGAGTGACTCCGTGGGGGGAGCTGATGTGTTGGAGACCACAGAAAGCTCAGCAAGGAGTACAAAGAGACCTGCACTGAGAAACTCCACCTATGAGGTGTCGCCAGGGAATGATGAGAACATCTGTGAGTATTTAACAATGCTTTCCTTTGGAAAAGACACCTGGGGCTGGCTGGAGTGGCTTGTGGAAAGGGTTTGTTATGCTGGTTGTGTTTCCAGGAAATGGCTGTAAAGCTGTAAAGGCGCCTGCTTTGGCTCAGCCTTTGAGTGCAGTGCCTGCCTCACCACGGCACTGACAGCTCTGGGGTTTAACTCAGACTTTTTGTTTGTCCAGTGGGCCTTTCCCAAACCCCAAGGTGCTCTTTGTTAGTGCTGGAATCAGGTTTTCTTGCTAGCACTGTAAAAGCTTTTATGCTTTTCACTCATGACTCCCATTTATATTTCACTCTCATTTGTCTCAGTGAGCAGCATGTGACAACTTTTCTTTATCATTCTCCCTCCTCAAATGACTTTCACAGTATTTATAACCTTCTAAGCAAAGTAAAAGTAAAAAGTTCACTACAGTAAATTTTATCATTTGTGAAGCTTCTTACTGCAGTCCTGTTATTTCTATCACAATGCTTTGCAAACAACTTTGGGTATGTTTTACATTTCCCTTGTAGTCCAGTTTAAACACAACATTGTTCCTCTTGCTTGTGAAACCTGCTAAACTGAATTTTCCATGCAGTGTTTAGGATAAAACTCTTCTTTCTTTGGGCTTTTTTTCCCTTGCAGCCATAACACCAAATTACACCCCCAGGAATGACTCGAGCAGGGTCTACACTCGCAGCGGGCGCCTCATCAAACCCCCCCTGAACTTCTGGTGTGGGCAGAGGGAGTTTGTGGATCAGAACCTGAATGTCACCATAGAAAAGGGAGGGGTGGATTATCTCAGCCTGGTAAGATCCTCTTAAGTGTGACTTAAATAGAATTATTAAACTTTGCCGGGTAGGGAACAGAACAGGTGCAGCTCTTAGAGGCATCTGAAGAGAAAGGAAATCTTGGAAACATGATCAAAGTATTAGAAAACACAGCAAAAATAGTCTTATGTCCATATTATCAGATAATTGTGATCTCTAAATCTGATACAATGGGGAATTCTTTCTGGGGAAAAACTGGGGGTGTTTTGGAAGATAATTGTATCAGACAGGAATTTGGTGAGGTCCCACCTCAAATCCTGGGGTCTGTCCTGGGCCTTTCACTGCAACAGAGACTCTGAGGGGTTGGAGCATTTCCAGGGAAGGGAACAGAGCTGGGAAGGGGCTGAAGCCCCAGGAGCAGCTGAGGGAGCTGGGAAGGGGGCTCAGCCTGGAGAAAAGGAGATTAAATTAGTTTTAGAGTAAATTGTTTTATTTTGAAGATGCTTAGTAGTGAAAAACCCAAAAAAAAGACCAGTTCCGTCTCCAAGAAGAATCAACCAAAGGAAGTCTTGAAGACAACAGAGGAAATGCCAAAAAGCCAAAGTAAAGGTAAAAACTATTTTTTTTTTCTGTTTTCAAATTATTGATGGAATTGGTGGAATTGAGTGGGTGCTGGAGCAGTAGGGTTGGGTCTGTTAATGCGAAGAAATGATTCAAATATTTTAATGATCAACTGCTTTTTCTCTGAAGAGTCATCAGAGTAGCATTCATGTGGAGTTTCACAGCTCCAACAAGAGCTGTGTTTGTAAATCACTTTGTTGATTACATAACGGGGACACAGGGATTTCATTCTGGAAACTGAAATGAAGGGATTTGGACTTCTTGGAGTTCACCAATCCAGTGACCTGGAGGCCTGGCTTTGCTTTTTAACATGGATGGAAGATATGAAATGTTGGCAAAAAAATCTGTTAATAGAATTTGTAATAAAAATTTGGTTTTAGTAGAATTTGGGTGGTGCTAGAAGCCTGGGAAGAATGTGCAATATAAAGCAGAAGTTTCTCTCTTAAAGCAGCTGCAATGTTTCCTGCAGAAAGCTCTCTGGAGCAGAGCAGAGTTTGGCGATGTGCCTGCTCAGTCAGTAGAGTTTCGGAGAGCCCTTGAGAGCAGCTCCGAGTTTGTAGTTTGGCAGGTAACGCTGTGGAGGGGTGCAGATCCCTGTGCTGAGCACAGCGGGACCGCCCCGCGCCCTGACGGGCTCTGCTGCCTCTTCCTTCCAGGGAAAGGCAGCGGGAGGGGAGCCACGCCCAGGGGAGACCCCAGAGCTGCCCGCAGCAGGAAGGGACGGCGCTTCCCTTTGGATGAGGAGGAAAAGGATCCTGGAATGAGGAGCACAGAAACGAAATCCCATCTCCGTGCCCGGGCGGCTTCCTCCAGCACCAGGGGGCTGAACAAAGGCAGCAGCAGAGCCCCGGGGGCAGCGACGAGAGCAGCAGGCTCCGGAGAGCCGAGCATGTACGAGCAGGGCTACAGGTACTCCCTCAGGTCAGCCAGGCAGCGCCTCCCGGGGAAGGAGAGGGTTCTCCTCCCCGAGGAACCGTCAGAGGATGAGGAGGAGCACTCGCCCAGTGAGGACAGTGAGCAGGCCAGTAAGCACATTCCACTGGCCATCAGGAGGAAAAACACGTCTGGATTAAAACCAGGGTCTCAAAGGCGGAAACCTTGCTCTGGCTCCAGAGATCCCCGGGATAATGCAAGCAAGTCCCGTGGCCAAAGGACAGGAAAGGCCTCCTGGAATGGGCTGGTGGGGCTGAGTGAGACTGAGTGCAGTGCTGAGTCTTCTTCTGAGTCCCCTTCTGAGGGGAAAACATCCTCTGAGTCCAGTGCTTCCCTCCTGCCTGCTCAACCCAGGAGGGCACAGGACAGAGCCAGCCAGACCAGGCTGGTCAATTCCAGCACCCAGCCCCAAACCGAGAAGGAGAAAACTCACAGCAAGGACAGGAATGCCAGAGTACCCCAGATGAAAACAAGCCATGGAGTCTCCAGCAGTGCCAGGGCTTCCTCAGCAAAACTGAGAGAGGCAAAAGGGCAGAAATCTCTGGAACTTTTTCCAAGGGCAGCTGATGGTTGGTCTGAGAGGGAATTACAGAACCTTCACAGGTAAGGGCTCATTCTGTGTTCAGAGGAAAAGTTTCCCTTGGGCATCAAAAGGGGTTGAATGTTCTGGACTAGGGGTTTTCAGATTAATGATTTCCCAGGTTTCCTTTATGTTTTAATTCCCTATCAGAAATATTCCTTATTTAATTTCTAATTTCCTTATTATTATTCCCTAATAATAACTAATTATAATTATAATAATCTAGTTATCTAGTAATAACTAATTATAATTCCCTATTAATTTTCTTCACAAATGAAACATCAGTATAATAGGGTGAAGGCCACAGGTGAAAAGGGAGCAGGTTCCCTCCCCAAACTGCAGTAACAGGTTAAACATGGTGTGGTTTTGCGAGCAGGTTTGGTAATGGCAAGTTAACTGCAAGTGTGTTTAATTAATCCATCATCCAATTACTTAAACCACTGGGCAATATTGAATAGACACAGAGTGTAAAATGGCCAAATTTGGGTTTACCTCTTTCAGATGAGCAGGAGCTCAGGTCTGAGGGGACCTGCACAAGTGAGCAGGAAATTTATCTTGTGACACATCTGTCAGTTGAAGGTGTTCAAATAAATTTGCCTGCTCTGAGGAAAAGACACCACAGGATCACAGAGTGGTTTGGGTTAGAAGAACCTTAAATCCCATCCAGTGCCACCCCTGCCATGGCAGGGACACTTCCACTGTCCCAGGTGCTCCTGGTGACACCGTGTGGCACCGTGCCCTGCCTGGCAGCCCCGTGCCCTGCCTGGTGACACCGTGTGGCACCGTGTGACACCGTGCCCTGCCTGGTGACACGGTGCCCTGCCTGGTGACACGGTGCCCGTGCTGTCCCTGCAGGGCCATCGCGACCTTCCCGAAGCACAGGAGCGGCTTCTGGCAGGAGGTGGCCATGGCCGTGGGGTCCCGCTCGGCCGAGGAGTGCCAGGGGAAGTACCGGGAGGAGCAGGAGGGGAAAGGCTCCAAGCAGCAGCCCAGGAGAACCACCTCAGGAAAAGCTGAGAACAAAGGTGCCAGCATCTTCTTTCTGGGTGTTGTATGGGTGGTAAATAATTTGGATTTAGACACTGAGTGCTGGAGCGTGTCCAGGGAAGGGAGCAGAGCTGGGAAGGGGCTGGAGAGTTCCTGAGGGAGATGGGAAGGGGCTGGAGAGTTCCTGAGGGAGCTGGGAAGGGGCTGGAGAGTTCCTGAGGGAGCTGGGAAGGGGCTGAGCCTGGAGCAAAGGAGGCTCAGGGGGACCTTGTGGCTCTGCACAGCTCCTGCCAGGAGGGGACAGCCGGGGGGTCGGGCTCTGCTCCAGGAACAGGGACAGGAGCAGAGGGAACGGCCTCAGGCTGGGCCAGGGCAGGCTCAGGGTGGGCACAGCAGGAATTTCCCCATGGAAAGGGGCTCAGGGATTGGCACTGCCCAGGGAGTTTTGGAGTGCCCATCCCTTGGGGGGATTTAAAAGCCCTGTGCTTGTGGCACCTGGGGACATGGGGCAGTGCTGGGGAAGGGCTGGACTGGATGGGCTGGGAGGACTTTTCCAGCCCCACCAATTCTGCTCCCATGGGATAAATCCACAAGAGCACATCAGGGTGTGACTGTGAGCCAGGTCACCTTTTGGTGTGGAGGCTGGAGGATGTCATGAATGACTGAGGTGACAAAAACAGAGAGAGGAAATAACCTTTCCTTCTTGTGGAGTTTTCCAATTGTTAGCATGAGGGGAAGACTTTCTCTGGCCTTCACCCCTCAGGGGAAAAGAGCTCATGACATCCTGAGAGGCTCCTTGAGGCCCAGGAGGTCCCAAGCTCCTTGCAGAGCTCTGTCCAGATGGGATTTGGGTTCTTGGATGCCCCATAGCTGCTGTCTCAGACAATTCCTGTTTGGATCCTGCAGATAAGAAGGAGGCAGTGATCACTGCCAGGGTGGGCACCCTCAAGCGGAAGCTGCAGATGAGGGAGTTCCTGGAGCAGCTGCCCAAGGACAACCACGACGACATCTTCGCCACCACGCCCTTCCAGAAGAGGAAGGTCCAGGTAAACCTGGGCCGACAGCACCTGTGGGACTGCTCTCCTGCTGGGTGTGCCAGGGCTGCTCCAGTCCCACCAATACAGTCCTGGGGATCTGTGGGAATGCTTCTACAGCACCCTTGGCTGGTGGCAGTGAGGTTGGACAGGCTGGCAGTAATTGTAATTGTCCTTCTGAGCAGCCCTGGCCAGCTTGGAGCTTGGGATTGGAACCAGAAATGGTTTTTTTGAGGGTGTGGCGGCACCAAAACCCCTCAGCCAAGTGCTGGGCAGGATCTGGAGGGGCACTCGGACCAAGGTGGAGGTGCAGGGTTGTGTCCAGTTCTGGGCAGGAGGGGACAGGGGTGTCAGATCCAGGGCAGGGAGGAACGGAGGGACTGCTGAAGGGCGAGAGGGGCTCTGCAGGCTCAGGTGACTGACAGCTCTGAGGTGCTCTGCAGCTGCCAACACTGCGAGGGAGCCAGGACGGGGACACCGAGGACTTCACCCTCTCAGAGCTGCCCCTCACCCCCTCCTCAGGCCTCTTTCCCCCTGTGAAAACCCCACAGTGTGAGCACATCAGCCCGGGAATGCTGGTCCCCATCAACAGGTAGGCGCTCCCCCAGCAGTTCTCTGCCAGCCTTGGCACTGCCCAGGGTCCCTTTTTGTCTCTGGGACAGATGGCTTTGGAGCTGGGACAGCAGCTCCCTTGCAGCCACTCCTGCGGCCTCGGTCTGCCTGGGGAAAGCTCTGCCCTGCAGCCCCGGGTGCTGCTGGAGCTGCTCAGCTCCCTGTGCAGCTCCTGCTCCCAGCCCTGGGAACAGCCTGGCTCGGCCTTCAGCCTCAGCAGAGCCTCCAGGCCCGCCCCAAGGCTTGGGGCTGTGCACCAGTACCGGGAACCCGCTGGGAACCGGAGCCAGTGGGGTTTTGTCTCCTGGGCTGGGCTGGGAAGGGCTGGGGCTGGCTGTGATCCCGCAGTGGCACTTGCAGCCCTGCTGGTTCCCTGTGGGGCTGGGGCTCACTGTGATCCTGCAGTGGCACTTGCAGCCCTGCTGGTTCCCTGTGGGGCTGGCTGTGATCCCGCAGTGGCACTTGCAGCCCTGCTGGTTCCCTGTGGGGCTGGCTGTGATCCTGCAGTGGCATTTGCAGCCCTGCTGGTTCCCTGTGGGGCTGGGGCTGGCTGGGGTCCCGCAGTGGCACTTGCAGCCCTGCTGGTTCCCTGTGGGGCTGGGGCTGGCTGGGGTCCGTGGCAGCACGCTGAGCCCTGCTCCCCTGTCCCAGGAACGACTACGACCGGCACGTGTTCCGCATGCAGAAGAACATGCAGGGCGCCCGAGGCACCTGGGACAAGGTCAAGAAGAAGATGGTAATGCTGCTTCCCCTGCCCACTGCCACCTGAGGCGGGCACAGCCTGGCCGGAGGAGGCAGAACTCCAGGGTCACAGCCCCCTGGGTGCTCTGGAAAAAATGGGAACCCTCCCTGGGTTTGGTGTCTGCTGCTGTGGAGAGAGGTTCCTTTGTGAGAGCAGAGCTCTTCGCTTTCAGGATTAACTCCGTTGCTTTTAGTCAGGATTTGGAATTGCTTTGGAATTCCGTGATCTTTAGGTTCTTGTTAAATTCTTCTGAACAGTGGGAAAAGGAACAATAACCATAGGATATCCTGAGGTACCCGTAAGGGCCCCACAAGGATCATCCAGTCCAACTCCTAATAGTGACCATAAGTCACCTTGTATCTCTGAATTTAGGTATCAATTCTTCCACTCTCCCAGGCTCTGCAGCTCCTTTGGCTTTTCCATAGAACCCTGTGATCCTGGGAGCAGCTTGTGCCTGTGGTTCAGGGAAAGCAGTTGTGGAAATTCTGGGAAATGGGTCCCCGAGCTGGTGCTAGCCCTGGCTGAGCCTCTTCCCTTCCTTCCCTCCCTCAGGCCACAGCTGCACATGAGACACCACCTTCCTGCAGAACCAAGAGTGAGTATTCCTGCCTCCTCCTCCTCATTCCCAGCTCCTTCCCTTCTTCTGTGCCACCATGGGCTGTGTCCCATCAGCCTTTTGCTCTCTGAACCTTCTCTGCCCCCTGATGATCCCTGTTTTATTGCAGGAGTGACCGTGGCCCCAGTGGTGGGGAACCTCTTTGTGACTGAGACTCCAGAGTCCTCCGGTGAGGAGAAGGATTCCTACTTTTCCATGTGATGGATTCTGTGGATATGTTGTTCACCTGCACAGGGGCTTCTGCTGCCCCTCTGGGAAGGAATGCTGGAGTGATTTCAGTTTGGAAAAGTTGCCCTGCTCTGGCTGTACGTGTTTTAACTCCATTCCCACCCTGCCAGCAATGCTTGACTTTTCCATGTGTACAAAGTAGCATTTCCTTGTCCAGGCTCCTCTCCGTGTCCTGTTTCTCCTGGGAAGGAGAAGTGTACATAGATACCAATGACTGCCAAGTTTTGATACATTTTAAGCTAAAGAAGTATCTTCTGGGATATGGCTGTATAATAAATTCAGGAGCAGTCCGGAAGGAACTGAAATTGCTTTTTAATTTACTCTAGGGACAGCTTGAATTTTTATATTTCCTTAATGTAATAAACAAGGAGAAGCTTTTTACTCACAGAATACTCAGAGTTGTTGTAGGGGCAGCAGATTCCAGGAGCTGTCCAGCTTAGAATGGTGCCTGCAAGGCTTCATCCTCTTGGTTTGGAATCATGGAATGCTTTGGGTGGGAAGGGACCTTAAATCCCACCCATCCCACCCCTGCCATGGCAGGGACACCTCCCACTGTCCCAGAGTGTCCAGCCTGGCCTTGGGCACTGCCAGGGATCCAGGGGCAGCCACAGCTGCTCTGGCAATCCCAGCCCAGCCAGGAATTCCCAATTCCCAATCTCCCATCCATCCCTGCCCTCTGGCAGTGGGAGCCATTCCCTGGGTCCTGTCCCTCCATCCCTTGTTCCCAGTCCCTCTCCAGCTCTCCTGGAGCCCCTCCAGGCCCTGCAAGGGGCTCTGAGCTCTGCCTGGAGCTTCTCCTCTCCAGGGGAGCATTCCCAGCTCTCCAGCCTGGCTCCAGAGGGGCTCCAGCCCTGGAGCAGCTCCGTGGATTCCTCGGGCTCACTGCAGGGCTGGGGCAGCTCTGCAGGTGGGGTCTCACCCGAGCGGGTTACACTGTGCGAGTGGCTGCACCGCAGGACAGCTCCTGCTCCAGCGATGATTTCTCCCTGTCCCAGCCTCTTCCCGGGAAGCGCTGCTGCCCGAAGGGCCGGGAATGCCGATCCCGATCCTTTTCCAGCGGGCGGCAGCAGAGGCTGCGGCGGGATCTGGCACCTGAGCCCGGGCGGAGCCCCGAGGGACGGGACGGGGCCCCGGTGCCCCGGGAGCACAGAACGCCTCCGATTCCCGTTTTAAATTCCCGTTTTAACCTGGATCGCGGGGCTCGCTGCTGCAGTGATGGCTCCTCGCGTCACTCCCCGCAGCCTGGCCGCAGTACTCGAGCCATTGTTGTGGTTTTTAGCGGAATTGCGGATGATCACCCCCGGCCCGGGGACCCCCCTGGGCACACTCGGGGCACACAGCCGGGGCGGTGCGGCTCCCACACCCTGAGGTTTGGCACGTGTTTATTTACAGCATTTACATCAATCCCGACCGGGTAAAGTGCAGTGCAGGGCCCGGAGTGCGAGCTCAGCTCTTCCTCTTGGCGGGCAGGGGCTGGGGCTGGGGCAGCAGCTGCAGGTCGAAGTCGTGGCGCAGGAACCGATGGAGCTCCTCGGCCTGGGGCCGGCTGAGCCGCGCCCCCGCCGCCAGCGCCGGCACCGAGCTGCAAGAGAGGGAACGGGGGAGCCGCGGGGCCGGGATGGGGCAGCGCCGGGAGCCCCTGGAGCCAGGGATGGGGCAGTACCGGGATGGGGCAGCACCGGGAGCCCGGGACTGGGCAGTACCGGGAGCCCGGGATGGGGCAGCACCCAGAGCTGCTGTGGTCACCTCTGCACAGGTGCCCGAGGGCCGGCAGCACACCTGAGCAGTGAAAACAAGGAATGCCAGGGGGAAAGCGAACATGGGGCAGCAGGAGGGAGGGTGGAAGCAGAGCCCAGTCAGTGCCCTGGAATGCTCAGCGGGACAGACAGGAATGTGCGAAGAGCAGAGACAGGACAGGAAAGCTCCTGGGAGAGGGTGGGAAAGGCTCTTCCTGAGCAGCTATCCCGGCAGGAAAGGTGCAGGAAGGCTCTCCCTGGCTCCAGGGGAGAGGGAGAAGGGGAAGGAGGGCCCTGCAGCCCCTGCCAGGCCCTGTGCTGGCCTTACCTGTTGGCCACGGCAGTGATGGAGCCGAAGGAGTGGCAGAGGTTGAGGGCAGCTCCGTAGCTGAGGTTGGGAATGCTCAGGTAGAAGTTGAGGATGTCCCGCTGGTGCCCCTCCGGCTCTGTTGGCACCTGGATGGCAGCGTCCTTCCTGTGCTCCAGCAGAGCCAGGTCGTTCAGCAGAGCTGCAGTTTCCTCCTGGCAGGAGCTGAAGAGGAGCCTTACTCCAGCCTGGACCAAGGCTGAGAGCACTCCATCGTAGTACTGAGTCCTCTGGAAACACCGGGATGTTTCTCCTGAGGAGTGGAAGTACAGGAAAGCAAGACCCTGTTATTGTACAGTGGAATAATTTCATTGCAGACTTTGGATTTTTGGATTAAAACAAATGTCTGTGCATGGATAAAATTGTGCTTGTTCCTGACATGGAATCCCAGGCTGGTCTGGGTCAGCAGGGACCTTAAATCCCATCCCAGCACTGCCATGGCAGGGACACCTCCCACTGTCCCAGGGTGTCCAACCTGGCCTTGGGCACTGCAGGGATCCAGGGGCAGCCACAGCTGCTCTGGCAATTCCAGCCCAGCCAGGAATTCCCAGTTCCCAACATCCCACCCATCCCTGCCCTCTGGCAGTGGGAGCCATTCCCGGTGTCCCTCAGAGCAGCACCCACCTGGCCTGACCCTGTCTGTCTCCACAATCACACAGATCCTCTCGAAGATGCCCTGCAGGCGCTGCAGCCTCTGGCCGAGTTTGTTCCTGTTCCCGGGGCTCTGCAGCTCCGACTGGAGCAGCCTGTCCACGGCCAGGCGGTTGCTGACGATGTAGTCGCTGGTGCCCAGGGAGCAAACCTGCACCCGGAGCCCGTGCACGGCCCGCAGGCACGAGAGCACCTCGGGCCCCGAGCAGATCTCCCGGCTGTCCGCCAGGATGCACAGCGAGGGGCTCTGCTCCCCGGGAACACGGGAATTCCCAGCCCGGGAAGGGCTGTGCTCCCCGGGAACACGGGAATTCCCAGCCAGGAAAGGGCTCTGCTCCCCGGGAACACGGGAATTCCCAGCCAGGGCAGGGCTGTGCTCCCCGGGAACACGGGAATTCCCAGCCGGGGAAGGGCTGTGCTCCCCGGGAACACGGGAATTCCCAGCCAGGAAAGGGCTGTGCTCCCCGGGAACACGGGAATTCCCAGCCAGGGCAGGGCTCTGCTCCCCGGGAACACGGGAATTCCCAGCCAGGGAAGGGCTGTGCTCCTTGGGAACGCGGGAATTCCCAGCCAGGAAAGGGCTGTGCTCCTTGGGAACACAGGAAATCCGAGCCGTGGCTGAGGAAGGGTTTGGGACAGCAGGAAATGCCGAGCCTGAGCTGCTCCCGTGGGTCTTCTTCAAAGAGCTGTACACCTGTGAGTGGTGAAAATCACAGATTATGGGGGTTTATATCAAATCAATTAAAGGATGTTTTGCAGTATCAACACTTTCACATGGACACTTCAATGCCTGTATCGGTCTCCCCCATGAGCTGAGCTGATTCTCCCAGAGTTTGGATGACAAAAGCAGCAGCTTTCACCAAGAAGTTCAACAAAACCTGGATCTTGTAAAGGACCGAGATCAGGCTGGGAAGTGAGAGAAATCAGGAACCCAACCTCAGGGAGGTGCTGAAAGCCCTGAATTCAGACAGTGAACCAGGATCTTCTAACACAAACCCAAGGAATCAGTGAACACGGCTGTTCCATGATCCTCCACAACTGTCAGACCAAGGGATACTCTAGCCCCAGTTTTAATTTGTTCAGCCCTAAAATACTGCAGGTTACCCTGGGAGTATAAAACTTCTAGCAGCAAGGAAAGGGAGATGGTCCTGGAAGTGTCCAAGGCCAGGTTGGAGCAACCTGGTCCATGGAAGATGCAATGGGAAGGGTTTTAAGGTCCCTTCCAACCCCAACCATGCCACGATTCCCTGACTCCCTGATTCCTCAGAAGAGCCCTTGGCCCAGGAATTCTCTCCCACAAGGAAGCTCCCTGCTTTCCCCGAGCACTGACCTGCCCAGCAGGCTGCAGATCCGTGTTCCTGCAGCCAGAGCCAGCTGTGGGGACGGGCGTGCTCCTGCCTGGCTGCTCCGGGGGAGGATCCAGCACCCCAAACTCTGAAGTTCCCAGGCCCAGCAGCTGCTCTGTGTCCTGCCCCCCAGCCCGAGGAGCTGTGCCTTCCCCGGCCCCGCTGCTGTGCCGTGCAGAGGGGGCTGAGGGCAGGGCCCTGGGGAGCTGCCCCTTGCCCTGCCCTGCTTCCAGGGCCTCCTCCCTGCTGCCTCCCGTCTCCTCCTCGCTGGAGTCGCTCAGGACAATAATTCTGGAAGGTTTTTTCTTCTGCCCCGGGGCAGGAGCGTTCCCTGCCAGCCTGGCCTGGTTCAGCCTCGTCCTGCGGCGGGTCAGGTACGGCTTCCTGCTGCTGCTGCTGCCCTCGGTGGTGAGCAGGTCAAAATTCACAGGCACTTCCTCCTCACTGCAGCCACTCTGAGCCTCCTCCTCCTCATCCCCCACACAGAAACTGTCCTCAGCATAAGTCACATCCTGCTCGGGAATCTGGGGGAAACAGAGGCAGGGAGTTTGGGAAAGCTGCAGTGATTCTGCTGCTCCTCACCAGAAAGGGCCTTGGCTTATTCAGCCCTCCCCACACACACATACTGGGGCTGAGGGGCCTCAACCCCACCCAGTGCCACCCCAGCCATGGCAGGGACACCTCCCACTACCCCAGGGTGTCCAACCCGGCCTTGGGCACTGCCAGGGATCCAGGGACAGCCACAGCTGCTCTGGCAATTCCAGCCCAGCCAGGAATTCCCAATTCCCAATCTCCCACCCAGCCCTGCCCTCTGGCAGTGGGAGCCATTCCCTGGGTCCTGTCCCTCCATCCCTTGTCCCCAGTCCCTGCCAGGGGCTCTGTGGTTTTCTCCCATCCTTCCCTTCTCCAGGCTGAAGTTTTGTGTTGGAATTTGTAATCTACCAAAAAAGGCTGTAACTGCTCTTCAAAGCAGACCCTCACTGTGGTCCCACAAGGGGAGCTCCCCAAGGAGAGGAGCCCCTGCCCTTCCCACCTGGGAGAAGATGGCCGAGGGGTTGAATTCCCGATGGACCATTTTGTACCGGCTGCCGAGGGCGGGGCTGCGCACGGAGCTCAGGTAAACTGCCCTCATCTCGCTCTCTGAAACAAACAAGAGACAAAAGAATTCAGGATTAGAAGTTTTAATTCACACCTGTTACACTGTGTTTTCCATATTCCTTTATGGTCTCCCAAAAAGCTGTATTTCCCAAAGCAAAATTCTGCAATTCTCCAGCCATCTCT